TCCTAAAATATGCAAAACGCAGGGGTAGACTTCGACCCCGTAACCTCCTCCGGATATCAATGCTCAGATTCTTATTAATTGCTCTCAGTATTAAAACCAATATTATCAAAATCTGTACTTATATGAATATTAGTCCTATCACTTGATACTCGAGCTAATCGGACTATGCATAGTAGTAACAGCAATACTGGTATTGATACCACTATTAATGATCCTACGAATAATAATAATCACGTTCAAACCGAGTCCAAAAATACACGCATCAATGTAACAACGAATCTGTATTTTCACATACCAATGTACTTACATTCCAATATACTAATATGCGAATATACTCCTCATATACTAATGTTCCAATATACCCATAGACTTGCAAATTTAGAATATACTAATATGCTACTACACACGGATTAACACTAATACTAAGAATAAGACAAAGGCTAAGACCAAGACCAATACGAATACTAATCCTAACACTAACACTAAGCATTAACACTACCATTAGTACAAATAGTATATACAGACTTATATTAAGACTAATGGTAACACTGGCAGTGACATTGGCATTGACATTAACACTGACACCAACACTTAAACTAACAGTAAGACTAGTCAACACGAGCAATAATATTGAGACTACTACCCGTTTTAATATTACTAATAGTAGTACTAACACAAAACGAATACTAATATTAACACTACTGCCTAATGCAAATATGAAGACTATTACTCGTAACAATAACAATACTTAGATTAAAACTACCACTGTTAGCCCCATTCCTAAGATTAAAACTAAGAAAAAGACTAAGACAAAGATAAAAAGCTAAGACTAAGTAAGACTAGTAGATACAATTACATGCTGCGCGCTGTATTGGCTCTGAGGCTCACAGAACCCCAAATCCAAAAATCCAAAGCCTGTGTGACGGGCCCGAAACTTTGGATATTTTGGTTTCCTAGGTTATTTTTTGTTTTTTGGGTTTCGCCTCAACGAAACCCTGTTTTTTTTTGGTTTTCCAACAGAAATCACAAAAAAACACAAGGTTTTTTGTTTTTCATCAGAAACCCAGCAGTAAAACCAAAACAATGTATTTTTTGGTTTTCCAGCAGAAATCCAAAAAATCCAGGGTTTCGTTGAGGCGAAACACAAAAAAACAAAAACAACCTAGGAAAACCAAAATATCCAAAAGTTTCGGACCCGTCACACGGGCTTTGTTGGACTTTTGTTTTTTTGGTTTCCGCGGAATCACGACAAAACCAAAAATCCAAAACCTTTAGGGCAACCTCGCAACTTTTGGATTTTTTGGTTGTCCTAGGTGTTTTTTGGCTTTTGGAAACCATGGTTTTTTTTCCAGCAGAAATCCCAAAAACACAAGGTTTTTTGGTTTTCCAACAGAAATCCAAAAACGACAAGGTTTTTTTGGTTTTTCATCAGAAACCCACCAGGAAAACACACAAAAACACTGTGTTCTTTGTTTTTCCAGCAAAAATCCAAACAAACCAGGGTTCGTTGATGCGAAACCCCAAAAACCAAAAAAACCCTAGGAAAACCAAATAATCCAAAAGCTTCGGGCCCCTCACAAAGGTTGTGGATTTTTGGTTTTTTTGGTTTCCGTCGTCGTATCGTCTCTTTAAATGTTTGCTGCTTGTGCGTACAGGCGCACTGAGTATGCACGACGTTGTAAAGAGACATGACTGCAGATCATCAATGAAAAGTATGCAAAACACGAATCCCTCCAAAGAAAAGGTTTTGACTGTATTTACAATGGTAAAGAGGCCGAGGTAGGTCAGGGGGGGGGGGGGTGTGTCCATATATATATATATATACGATGCACATGCCTGCACCGTGCTTCTATTTGTTTTCAGTGCCAGCGCAAGCGAACCTGAGATTGGAGATAGTTATCGCATGTGGCTCATTTCTGCATCAACTCGAGCTAGCACGTGGCCGTCGACGTGAGTGCGGAGATGTGCAGCCACAAATCGTTACAACACTTCCCAACAATCTGGCGAAAGGCGGCAAAGTTAGCACCGAAAGCCACGGTCGGAGAGACGGTCGAGGTGATCGCACTAGAATCCCGGCCTCTTCCATGTGGTGCTTGCTGACGGGTGGAGGAAGTTTACACATCAGTTGCGGTCAGGGAATCTGTAAAGTCAGGAGACAGCAAGCGGTATGCGTCAATTTCACGGTTCCAGTTTTCTATTATAGCTAGGGGATCATGAGTTGCGCTAACCAGGAAGCTATAGCATGTACGTAGAATGCAACGTAAAGAAGGAACCACTGGCAACATGCAGTTATGGACTTGCCAGCTGCAAAGAGCGGAAGGCACTGCAGCAACAATCAAGGAATGTTGACCAACATACTAAGCCTTTCGAAGCAGCAAGCCCCTGTATCTTCACACTTACATGGCTGAGACCTTCAGGCTGAACAGAAGACCCCATCAGGGATGTTGCTGAATTCTTGGAGATTACAATTTGTATGAAGATTGACCTCGCACTGCTAGTGGACTCCAACTCCGACGAATGACTCAACTTATCCCGTGTACATCGCACCTTGAGATCACAGAGTGCAAATAAGACACACGAGCCCAGGAATCGTTGTACGAGGCTGCTGGGACAGTCGGGCGACGCGTGCTAGAACTTGTTTGCATGTGGATACGGGTTATGAGTGTGACAGGTGCTGATTCCACAGTGTCTTAAGATATCTACGCTGCCCTCTGATTACCGATGCTTCCTAGTCAGTGACTAGCATCCCCAACTTCCCACCAACGGCCTCCTGTCTGCTTTCTCGTGTAGCTTAGCTGGTTGTTGAGTTCCCGATCGTGAGGTCTGAGCCCAGGGTATACAGTGAACGCCGAAAAGTCGGAACATGGACTAGGAATGATTCGTGCTGAATTCCCTGCACCTTAGGGGCAAGAGCACAATGATTTTCCAACTTTCTGGCTTATGATAGCAAGAGTCTAAGCAGTCGGATTTTCAATCTTGACTTCCTATCACTCAGGTCAAACACTCAGCGTGCTGAAGCCCGAAATCCCGGTGTGTCGGGGGCAAGCCAGGTCGACAAAGCCAACGTCGCTCAAGATTCCGTTGTCTCCTCAGTGCTTCATCGATCTATGAATTAATGAATTAATGGTATCTTTCTAAGCACAGTCACTGCAAGCACCAGCAGGGCTGCTTGCAACAACAGTAAGCACGAGCAAGAGCAAGCTACTGCCAGGCTGCAGTGGTCGCCATCGTTGTCGCGACCATCATCACCAAGGTCACTACCACCACTGCCACCGCCACCCCCACCACCACCACCACCGCCAGGAAAACCATCACTAGCAGCATCATAGTTATCATCGTGCGTATCACTCTTCGTCAAGGTCGCGTTCGTAGTAAATACAGACTTGGCCATCATGATACGGCCGGTTATAGTTGTTCTTAGTCCCGACATTTCTTCCTGTGAGGAAGCACGAAGTGCAAACTACTCTGATTGGCAGTGTTTAGGCATTGTGACAGCCATCGGCATAGCAAAGCTCACAAGAAAGAATGCAGAGCTGCCGTGATGGTGCATCGACGGACCGTGCATTCAACGAGGAGGACATGTCCATGATGCTACACCAACCGTGAAGATGTTTTGTGAGCATGCCGGACTTTGTGGCCGCATGCTAACCGTCTGTCATTCTTTCGCCACAGTCTGAGCCATCATCGCGCTCCACTGCTCCGAGGATGTGCGCCAAAGCTCCAAAGCCAGCGCTCTGAGCGACGTGTCGGAGAGGAAGGCCTGCGCTGCAAGACTGACTCTTGTATGGTCCGAACTTGGTAAACTGAGTGCCTGGATGTGGCATCGTGGGAAACAGCCTGCAGACTTAGACAGCCCCGCGAGCCAGGCATCGAAGACTAACTCCCTGGGAAATGCCAGGCAGCAGATGCTGGGTGTAGTGTTACGGTTTAGGATGCCGTGCCTGCTGGAGACGAATGAGAGTTCCACCGAAATGCGTCACTGAAACCAACAACTGGACTCCTGTGAGTGACACTGCGTCTCTCTCCACTCGTGCGCATGGTTTAGGTGGAAAGCCTTTGGTGTCGTTTTTGGAACTGTTCATTTCCTGGGCAGGTGCCTTGTTGTTTCGGGAGTCGGCTACAATGAATAAACCTGAATCAAGAATATCGACACACCATGGTTTAGAGGCCTTGCCGGATTGCTGTGTGTGGTCAGCATTTGGGTGTCTTCCAAATATACCAAGGCAAGCCTCCTGGGGCTTTTTCAAAGTGATCAGTTTCGGCTAGTGCGAAGACGCAAATCCTGGTCTTGCCAGCCCTCGATGCGCTCGAGCGAGCTTTCGCAGGGCCATCCGAACTTGCTCTGCCACGACTCCAGCAACACTTTCGAGACTAGCAAGATCAGTCCTTGCGCTGATCAAAGAAAGGATCAGAGATGTCGTCGTCGCAAGAAATGCGCTGCAGCCACTACGTGTGATGATACATACATACATGTGGGCTGCGACAGAACGCGCAACGTGTAGAGATCTTGGGCACGAGTGGCACATATGTCAGTTTCCGGTCATGTCATGCAAGCAGTGGCAAGTATGACGCGCCAGCACTGCATGGATCTATCCACGACAGTGTTCAAGGATGCTAGGTTTCTTCCTGGAGAATCTTAACATGGTGGCCAGGAAAAATGATGGAATATCCGGTGGTGGGGTCTGGATATGGCCTTGACTGCTGGCAGGATGTCTCGGCTTAACTCCATGGGAGCCACCGCAGGCCATCGCGCCGTGAGGTTATTCAAACTGCCTGTTGGAATAACTTACTGGCTTGCGGGTCTAGGTTGCTGTCCCAAGCTATCCCTTCCTGAACCCGAGCACCAGAAGCAGCAAACGTTGGGAGAAATCGGATTTGCCTGCGTACCTGACAGTGAGCTAGCGCTGTGATCAAGTTGTTCTAAAGCCGAGATCTAGTGTCATTCATATTTGGTGTTGTATACATTCGCACGCGGTACGCGAGCCTGTGCAAAAGCGGGTGCCATCGCAACTTCGCAAGAGCCATGCTTGAGAAATGCAGCAAATGACCCTTGGTGCTGCCTGCAAACCTGTCATGCCGTTGTGTTGCGCTTGCCACGCAGGTACGAATACCATGGCTACGCCTACTTCAACAACAGCAACAGCAACAGGAACAACAACGACGACGACGACTACTACTACTACACTACTACTACTACTACTACTACTACTACTACTATTACTACTACTACTGCTACGGCTACTGCTACTGCTACTGCTACTGCTACTACTACTACTACTAGCCCCCCCGCCCCCCTACCAACTACACTTGCTTAAAACCATCTTAAGAGCACATCCGTTTTACTCGGTATTTACAGCACTTTCGTCATGTACGATCATCATAAGAGGCCTCAAAATCCATCTGCCGAGTTTGCTAAC